ATAAAGCTATGATTGTCGTCGGCTTGCTGATCTTTAGCTGTAAACGAGAATCCGATTATTATGAGAGCTATCTTAGCACTATATTATTGAGACTAATTATTCTACAGCCATCATATTTAGGATCTCTAGCTTTCCTCATAAACTGGAATATTCAGTTTTCATAAAAATTAAAACTGATTCCAAGTTTTTACACAAAATATAGATCAATCTACTGATAATACTGGACTAATACACTTCCACAGCTGAATTATCTTTCGTTTCAAGTTATTTACTGACTTGGCACTTTGACTGAGATCTTGATCTGATAAATTAACTGTTGATGATCTAAATCCTGATCAGCTTCATGAATATCAGTAAATAATATCTCACCTGTGAATGAGAGACTAAAGTTCAACAATAATTTGAAGCAGCAAAACTTCTACTTGATCAATCAATACCCTATTATATTAATATTCGAGTAAGCTCATGGAGATGAGTCTCCAGGTTTTGATCTGAATCCAAAGGCTACTGTTCTACATTTTTATTGATCCAAACGTTCAGATCACTTTGGACAGCGTAAAAGCAAGAGTCGATTGTGAAAGTTTTTAAAAGCATATCCCTCAGACAATCAGAGAAACTAATGAGAAATCAGCCAGGTAAAATAACAGTAAATGATTTGAAACAGGATAGCATAATGGCTCCAAATTTGAAAAGAATGCTGTAACAAACGTTGATACCCCGGGAAATCCAATCTTAAATTAAATAAATTCACATTATCTTGCTAATTCAGTTAGAATACTACAATATCTTAAATGAATTTAGCAGTCAGACAACTGATACCTACCGTTCCTAATCAACCTTACAGTTGAGTATTTTACTTGTTAATTCCAGAGGTGAATTTCAAGCACAGAGAACTTCAGTCACTAACGCTACACCTACCACAGAGCTATTAAATTTATCCCTGAATAGTATTTACACTTCAAAGGAAATATTTTGATTACCCTTGAATAGAGCGAGTTTATCATGCAGATAGCACGTACCAAACGTGGTCACTCGTCAAATAACTATGAAACGTGAGACAATTCATATTTGCAAATATCATTCCCCTCCTATCGAATCACATATCCCAATAATTTAGAATGAGCAGTACAACTGCTGAACCGCTACCCTACCTTACAACTCTGTGACTATTCAACAATACCAACAGCAAATACAGGTTTCTTTTAAGATGATCTGAAGATAGCTTACAAAGTCTCTAATTGACAATAAAAACATCAATGGAACGTATATAGCGACAGCCTATGCTCCACAAAGGGTAACATGCGTACGTAAGACCAGCGACTTAGTTGGACTGTTGCAGGCTAAAGAATGAGACCTAAATACTTAGCGTTTTCCGTTCTCAAGCAGAATAATCAATGCTTCACTCTTATTTTAGTTATAAGCTTCCAATCGACTCTGTAGAGAAACGCAACGAAAACTAGAATTCGTTCACCAATTTTCCACATTTTCAAGTAATAACGCATTTGGTTCGTGGTATCTTCGGTACATCACAAGATACTTACCAATGAGCTAGTATGGACACTTCAAATTTCCATGACATTGGTTGTCAACGATATTCGACAATTTCCGTTAAGTCTCACACTTCACTTGAGCACTATTCCTTGACAAACTTCCTTAGAGAAAAAATAAGCTTATACTTTTACTACGAAACATACGATGACAGAGCAGAAAATCCGCATCGTCTAATCCAGATGTCAGTTTGCTGGAATACCTAACAGAGCATTCAATTTGTTTCCCGTTCTTGTACGTTAAAATGACTAGCAAGAAATCATGGCTTAGGATTGGTCAATCGAGCAGATGAACTCGCTCTATCGACTTCTAGATCATGAGTCCCAGTACCCCTTCATTAATACCTTTCATCCTCGCTTTTCCCTTGATTATTTCTACTCTTTTGCTGTTCAACCCATTAAATACATATTTGCACTAGGCTCTATATTATGACAGCACAAAGTGGTAAGATATAAATCACGACTCCCTGCAGAAAAACAACAATCTGAACTTAAACAAAATATTAAAATACAGGTTGGATATTGCCGGTTACTTTACTAGTTGCTACACATTACAACAATGTTGTGATTGCACTGGCTTCATTAATTGCAAGCTACAGTTCCGAAAACCCGACTTTCCTCATAATCTTAGTTCCGGTCAGATGTGCAATTTTTTCTTATCTAAGCTCATAAAACAGTTGTCAATAGCATATTTGGAGCCAATAAAGAACACTTAATTTACCAAAAAGTCATTGTCAGATCGTGATTGAACTTGAACGGGGCAATTAGGACTTGTCAATATGCGAATAGATTTCTAAGAATATAATTGCCTTTTCAAAACTTCGCAATAGCTTATAACGTTCAAACTAGCGTTTAGGTAACCATTCTTCTGCAATGATATTGAGTGTTCAATCAACCGTCTGCGTCGCTTATTACATCTACTAATAAGAAATACCAGCACAATCGTTACACTTCCAATCATTGTAGGGTGAGAATTCAGGTAACTGTAGTAAATTGTATTGAATTTCGTAAGATTTTGCTTTAGGACATAATCAGAATTGACCAAGTACAGGGACAGGCAGCCTACAAGAATAAAGGTCTATGTGGTGAATATGTGTAGTTAAACACAAATGATCATCTTCATTTCATGTTTCATATCGACGATATTCCAAACGGTACTCACCAAACAGGTAATCATATTAAAATAGGAATGTCTGATATCTCACGAGCGTAGGATATTTAACACATTTAAAAATGATCCAAATATTGAGTTTATTATAAAACGCCTCTGCTTAGAACTATTCTAGTTAGTGAACCAGAAGAAGCTTATTACCTTGATAATTCTTAGAGAAGGAATTGCGATTGACACAGTAAAGATAATATATCACATTGCTTAAATAGGTTGTAGATATACAAAAAATGAGTTGAGTATTTAAGAATATCATGTCAGTCTAGCAAACTATAATCGATAAGGATACTGTGTCATTACCTAACGACAACCGAGGCAAAAACCAATAGTTGGTGAGGAAAATATATATTCAAAACCATTAGGCGCCAATCTTTTTCACAATAAGAAATCAGTGAAAGTAATCTGAAGTTACTCCACTGGTGCCTACACATAATAACCATTTGCTAGTAACTTTCTGTCCAAAAAACACTATCAGTTTGATAAGTGGAAAGGTTCTTTTCTGAACACACGCTTAACTAGTTCAACACATGTTAATGATCATCTAATTGAATTCATGCAAAACTGCAGATGTTGATATTAACAAAGAAACTTCTAGAATCGTAATTACAATCATAAAGTTGGCAAAGTACTGAAGGGATTGATAACCCAATATTGGGAATGTTATCGAAAACAAATAGTGATAGGACACCATTATCAAGGAATTTATCCCTTGAGTTAAAATGCATCTTTCATGTCGTAAGATAAAATCGCCTAACACATCTTCAAAGACCAGATGCTAATTATGATTTCACTAGTCGATAACATTAGTCGAATGGTGCGCATTTGATGAATGTTTGGCACAAAACTTTCCAGGATCTAAGGGGATTAAACCACTAATATTCAAGGTCAAAACGCTTGTCTATTAACTATCCTTCAAAGGGCTTCATACCATCTACAGTAATTGCTCCTGTAAATATATCTGACTAGTTCAGAGTTGCAGGAATCCAGTTTGCAGATAACGTGAAACGACCCATATTTTATGGGCTAGTTGTCTGATTCTCACCTTACAAGTGAGAATCTGATAGACAAACAACAAATGCATAAATGACTATGCTCAGGTACTACATCGTCCTCACTAAATTCCTGAGATTCTTATAAAAGTTACTTTATATACTTGATGATAGCACGAACTAGTTATTCTAGATTCAAAAAATTTGAGCTTTCACTAATTACTTCTGAAAATGGTTTCACAATGTGTCCGAAGCTACAATTTAAAGGATGATAATAGTATGCTAAGCAGTATGATAGGACTATTGATATAACTATTTGTCCTATGAATACATCATATATACAGTAAGTTTACTCTACAGGATTAAAGTCATTAAGTTATAAAATGTAAAGTACTGAATCACTGCATTCTATTCGTATACTTTAAAATGACTAAACACATTCACAATAACAAGTATAACACTACGTTATAAATGAAAGGGTATTCATTCTAGATGAAAAGCTCGAATTTTACTTTACCGTAGTCTGTTATTACAAATATGCTAACCACTAAACCACTGATATACATAATGAGATCGATCAGATGAGAACTATGTAAGGTAATATCCTCATATGCTATAGTGTTTTGTCATTACTTCACAGTTTGGTATTAGCATGAGAAACAAAACATTAGTTTTGCTATGTTATTGCAGAATTTTTAAGTGTATGTTGACTTCAGAGGCATGAACAAGCCCTAAAATTACTAGTAGAAAAACAGAATTTTAAATTCTGTCATTAAGTTCATTAAAATGGAATATTAATGATGGTCATACAATCAGAATTGTTACAAACAAATGGACTGTTTTGAACTTCGGAAGTTTATTATTTCATTGAGACCAGTAGACACCATCTTTATGAGATATAGTAAACCGAATTAAATTTCGATATAGTTGTCTTAACTACATACCGAATCCTCAAATGAATCAAAACACCATGCCAAAAGATAGTTATTTAACAGTTGATCTCTCACTTTAGGTTCAATATAACCATATCAGTACACCTAATTATTGTTTGAAATTTAGTATGTCCAGTGTAAAAGACTTAACGTAGAGGGTTTATCAGAACAAACGACAGTGATTTCGCTGAAATTTAATGTTATTAAAGTATGACAATGATACAACTTTTAAAGTAGGAACTTAGAAAGAACGATAAAAAAATGTTAATTTTGAATCGCCTTAGATGATTTCATATTTAAAACATATTTATGTACAGTTATCTTAGAGATTATTTAGAACCCTGATTCACTAGACCATAGTTTATTATCGCCGTGTATCAGGAGTTGGATAATACTCTCGTGGACTGGGAGATGGTGAACCTGGCCGAGGAGTGGTCATAAAGTAGTGTGATGAAGGAGTATGGAAAGTTGATGGGCTATATGCTGAGGTGCCAAGGGTGGATCCAGAGAAACCAGTACCTGAATAGCCCAGAAGACTTGAAGATCCCAGGCCAGTTCCAGTACTTAAACCATGAGACATAGGATAGTTTGGAGTAGTTGGATAAGAAAGTGGAGAATTACTTGGTCCTCCCAAAGTTCCACTTGGAGCACCACCCGGAGAACTGGGGGTAGTCATCTGTGGAGAATAACTTTCCACTGAGGAACTTCCAGCTAACGTCGGAGGACTGTAACGAGGGGCAGAAGGAGAAGCATTAAATGATAGTGGTGAAGCAGGTTGACTATTTGGATAAAAAGATGGTCTGCTACCACTTAAACTGCTTGCGCTCATACCGGGTGAAGGTGAACTTGGAGAGACTCCAGGAGTTTCTGAGCCAGGCAAAACGCCCCAACCGCTGAAATCTCGACTCATTGAACTACCCCCACCTGTAGGCATTGGACTGTTCGGGCTATAAGAATAATTTATGCTATCGGGTGAATCGCTGGACGGACCAAGAGACCCACTAGATATCATTCCATATCCTGAAAAACTGGGATGGTGTGGAGAACGTTGAGTGTATCCGACAGACATAGGTTCATAGGATTGTTGTAATGAGAACGTTGGTGAGTTGCTATCCCCACTAGCACTGAAACTTGAACTGCTGCCTGTGCCAGCGTAGGATGGTTTATGTATGGGTGAAAATATATCGGCACGAAGACTTCCAGGACCTCCATACCCAAAAGAACCACTACTGAGGCTCCCAGAATGTCCAGGACTAGAGCCAGGTGAACCCAATTCCGTTTGTGGAGTACCCATAAAAGACATAGGACTACTGAACCCAACATATGCAGCTGGTGAAAATGCTTCCGGAGTACGAGGACTGTCTAACTGAGGACTTCGACCAGGAGATAAAGAAGAGTCGTAACGCATGGCCGGGAGAACATAGCATTATGTGGAGCTGTAGCGCCGCCAAGGCCTCCACGGTAACTTGGAGAATCCACAGAACCAACAGGAGAATGGGCGTTATCCCATGGTGTATGATAACCACTATCCCCAAGTACAGGTATTCCATCTGCATTCATAGTCAAGCCCAATCCAGGTGAAGCAAGTGCAGCAAGACCCTCGAAACCTGGTGCATTGAACAAACCCATTCCCAAGACACCACCGAGTGGTATAGGTTGCGCTTCCTGACACTTGGCTGAATCCAAAAGCAAATCAAAAGAACCTGTCCCAATTCTAGCCAGTTGACCGAGCATAATAGTTTCTGAGACACCAGCCATTGGATCACACTCAGAATGGATAGCAGCTTCCATAAGTATGTCAACTGTTTCTTCAAAACTACAACGAGCCAAAGCTCCCGTATCCAAACGGTTAAGACCATGCCGAGTAATAGCCATGAGATGTCCTTTGACAGTCATAATATCACACAATAACGCCAGATGACGATAATTGACATACGAGCCATCAAAAGAAATGACATGATGCATCTCACATTCTATTGCTTTACGCACAGCTTCAATTCCAAGAGCTTCGAAAATTTCTACAATATCATTGCTGACTGTGCGTACCGGATCTACATCTCGTTCAGCAAGAACTCTCATCAGACAAGTGCCGTCAGTTTCTAACATCCACTCTGCAACCGTATCAAAGCTTCCATCATCTTTGATAACCACACGCTTTTTATCTTGCGTTTTAGGTAGATGCATGTACACTTTTGTGATCTGAGGTATTCCCTGGAGAGTAATATCAGTTAATAAATTTGCTTCAATAAAACGAAGAAATGTATCATCTTCCATTTTATCAGAGGTGGTATCAGCATCCTTAAAATCTTTTTCCAAGTCACTATTCATAATACGAATTCTCATGACCAGCTTTAAATTATCATCTGGTATGTGACATATAAGATCATTACCGAAAGCTCGTGTTATTTATCTGCGATTTGTTCCATTGATAATTTTTTACCAGTCATACCTTTTCTAGTGAACTCAATGCGAAGCATCCAAGAGCTAATTGCGCTAACATCAAAATCTGGTAACTCGTAATATGTGGATACCCATTCTCTATCTTCTTCAACGACGGTATTTTGGGGATCTGGGTCATAATATATGTAAGTGCTGTTGACCAGTTTACGTAAAGTAGTATGCTCTAGTCGTGCAACAACATCTTTTGTTCGTTCTGCATCTCTAGCAGCTTGACAGTCAAGAAGATAGTCATAGATGGAGTTTTCGGACGTTTGCTTACGTTTATTATTTCTTTCAAACGAGGAACACCAAGAGTGACATTTTTAGCAGACACACCAGCGTAGTGGAAGGTATTCAAAGTCATTTGAGTAGCTGGTTCTCCGAGAGATTGAGCTGCTAGTGCTCCAACCATTTCACCTGGGTGAATATGGGCTTGTTGAAAACGGGCACGAACTTCACCTAACACCCAATCTAAAGCCTCGTAACTAAGGCGGTAGTCAATGATTACTTTTTGGCGCATAGCGATGCTCTAATCAATGAGCTTAACAGGAGTGTAGCGTTTGCGTTGGCTTCTTTGCTCAGTCGATCATCACCTGGTACAACTATCAGACGCTTACAAGTCTCTCGAACCATTTCAACAACTTGTCTGGGATGGATATTTGTTTTTGAAAGCGGATCTATTTCGAAAATTTTTTGAGCATTCATCACTAGTCTATTAATGTTACACGGTAAAACAACTGAGTCATCCGTTTTTTTGATGACAGAACGAAGTATTTCTCTATCAGAACACAACTGCAGCCATTCTGACTCTAGTTCCGATTGTGTTTGTGAATCTGTAGCCAAACTGCGGACAACATCCTCGGGCATACATCGTCTCAGAACTCTTTCGTTGCCAATGTCGAACCGAAAACCGTGTTCAAAAACAGCATTAGAAGGTTTGAATGTTGGAAGACGCTGAAACTCCACATGGGTTGCATCCAGCCCATCTTCACCATATCTAAGTTGAATTAACTGGTTGATTTGATTCCTAACAGTCCCATCGTATTTGATCATAACTGATTCCATAGCTTTAATTAGACGACGTTGAATGTACCCAGTTTCGGCAGTTTTGACTGCAGTGTCTATCAAGCCTTCTCGACCACCCATAGCGTGGAAAAAAAATTCAGTGGGCGTTAAACCAGCAAGGTAGGAGTTTTCAACGAAGCCACGAGACTCAGGACCATAATCATCTTGGATAAAATGTGGTAGCGTACGATGACGAAAACCGAAGGGAATTCTTTTACCTTCAACGTTTTGTTGACCCACACAAGCGATGACTTGAGAAATATTAATACGAGAACCTTTGGAACCAGCGACGACCATAATATTGAAATTGTTGTACTTAGATAGAGAGCGCTGAGCACAGCTACCAGTTTTATCACGAGCATCATTAAGAATTTTATTAACGCTGTTTTCGAAAGTTTGTCGAAGTGTATTGCCTGGTGTTGGTTGTAAGTCGTAATTATGAGCCTGATCAATAATTTCGAATACAGCGTCTTTTGCTTTGGTAATTGTACCACTAATTTGGCGACGAGTTGCCTGATCATATAATGTATCAGCAATACCAATTGTATGTCCTTCTATAAGAAGCCAATTGTTAACCACTGTTTGGATGTTATTGAAAAACATGTTAACTTGATCATGATGATGCTCCAATGCAACGATATGAATTAAAGAGCCTGCACCAGAACCTAGTGTTTTTTTGCATAAAATACCTGAGATTAAATCTCCGTCATCAACAATAACTTTAGTATCACCAGGAGATATCCATTTATAAGGGCCAATATCTTCTTCTTCTGGATGAGTACTATGTGTACGAATACAATTGACTCGACCAGGTATGACGAGGCTAAATAACTGCTTTCCAGTCCATAGACGTTGAGGTTTGTAAATTGCTGGTTTAGGCATACGACCATTCCAAGTTGGTAAGTACATTAATAAGTTCATCATTTCAGACCGATTTAAAAAGACATCACGCTGCGTCATCTTATTTACTGCAGTTAGCGTATCCTGGACAATACCCATAACAGGTTTATTAGCTTGTGGTGTGATCACTAAACGTGAAACACGGGCTAGCTGACTTATTTCCGCTTTCGTTTCAACAGATTGTGGGAGATGTAAGTTCATTTCATCGCCATCGAAATCAGCATTATAAGGTGAAGTAACAGATAGATTTAAACGAAACGTAGACCAAGGCAAGACTTTAACACGATGACACATCATAGACATTTTATGAAGCGTTGGTTGACGATTGAATATCACAAAGTCATCATTTAACATATGCCGCTCAACAATGTAACCAACCTGAAGTGTTAGGTCTGAAACTTTAGGATGATATCGTAAATCTATACGATCTCCATTCTCACGTACTATAAACTTAGCACCAGGATAAAGGGTTCCATTCTGTACTAGCTTTTGCAAGTGATCTATGTTAAATTGAGTAACTACCTCAGGATAAGTTAGATTTTGAGCTATTGTTCGTGGGACGCCTACTTGATCTAAATTGAGATTGGGGTCGGCTGTGATAACAGTACGAGCTGAGAAGTCAACACGCTTTCCCATAAGATTACCTCGAATACGACCAGCTTTACCTTTGAGTCGTTGTTTGATAGACTTCAGTGGGCGTCCAGACTTCTGAATCGCCTTAGGTAACCCGGGAACTTCATTATCAACCATGGTTGTGACATGGAACTGTAGCATTTTGATGTCTTCAGCAATTATATGGGCTGCTGCACCATTTTGTTCGTCTCGACGAAGCTGATTGTTCGCCTTTATAATATCAGCAAGCTTGTGTGTTAAATCGTCTTGATTACGAGTGGCTCCATACATCACAACGGCAGGACGGACACACAGAGGAGGGACTGGCAGAACAGTTGCAATCATCCAATCAGGTCGTGCATAACGTGGATCAAACCCGAGAGATAAGCAATCTTCATCTGACATACGCTTAAAAACTTCTAATACGCGTTCAGCAGTCAAATTAATCTTCCGTTCTTGTGATTCCTCGTTTACTTTTTTCCATTCAGCAGTAAGCTCAAGTCCATTACGACGAAAACGAGGTTGATAACGTCCACAACCAGAGCGTTTTACCTGTATAATAAGAAAAACAATTGAAATACTCTTGTTAAATGACATCTAACTTGTCCTACAGTTTGTAGTCAATAATGTATTGAATCTGGACAAAGCCATGAATACGACTAATCTGAGCTACTTCTTTAACTAAAGTACACCAGAAATAACTTGTTAAATCAAAAGCATGCTACTAAAATTACGATTTTCGTAAAGACTATACTGAACGTTTGTGTTGACATGAAGTCAACATTTTACGTGACAAAAAAAAACAGACAAAAGAACAGGATTATACATAACTAGTTCGAAAGCGTAGCCACAAAACGAATGGGATTGTTTGTAACCTCGTTATGAATTACCAACATTAACATATATCCAGCTAATTTGCTATCTGCTCATCATTAACGTTATGGGTGGGAATTAATTCATGATTATCCAGTAAATTCTGTAAATATTTCATAGTTATATGATATATTCACGGGATAATGGAAAATGTATATGCATCACATTGACGTCAAAAGAAAATATAAGTACGAAGTTAACATCGATGTGCACTTACGATTTTCTGAATTCTTAAAAACCAAAAGCAACCTCAGAAAAAAAACTTAGATCCCTATCAACCAAATCAAGACCCATTATGACAATTGGATGTTACTTCATATATATACTGATTAAAAAATGAATTATAATCTTCTAGAAAAGTTACTTCATAAACATAGTTTATAATATGATTGCGTTTTCTTACATGTAAATTAGAAATGAATCGAAGATCGCTAACAAAATAATCAGATTAGCCCTTAGTGTCAGGCTGCTTCTGGTGGGTATGTCACTTTTCCAACTACATTCAACCAAAATACTCATCATATGACCCACTGTCTAGAGACTACAAGTGTTCATAAACATGTGGATGTGACAGTTCACATATCCTACACTAAATATACGCCCGTCTAGTACTTCAAATTTAGCGGGGTCCAGACATTCTGAACAGATAGATCTTAACACCTATTACCGTAAATATTATTCACGTACATTCTGAAGTTAATGCAAATTTCCGTGCTTCAAACAGTGGTTACAAAAAAGAATAAGGGTTTATGAACACCGAAACTCACTTTACTACTGAGGCTGACATCATTTTCGCTTTGGACTTGATCATCATTAGATATACATTCAGATCGTGTTTTGCACTCTTCATACATAAAAGACATTCTTCGTCTATTATCGCCTTTTGTTTTGCGTAGTATTTCTTGGATCCTTGACGACTGCACATCAACTAGAATCTTTGAACAATAGAAACAGACACAGCGTAGGACCTTCATAGTTTTTTTAAGGAAGCCAATGTGGAAGACGGGTTTCGCAAGTTCCACGTGACCAAAATGTCCTGGGCAAGATGATACACTGCCACTACATGTTTGACAGATAGAGCTACGATCTACACAACCCTGACGAGGATCCATCAACCCACCAAGTTTTGGTTTCCCTCCTTCCATGGTCTCTGCATACTTGATTCCACCATCTGCAGTGACGGATAATTCTTTCTATAAAAGGTTAGTGAATGGCTATGATTTACTTAAAATACTAAAGAAGTTAATTAGAAATTTTTATCCTAAAAGTGGTTACTACTGAATAACTGATTGATATACGACCCGATAAAATGAGGCTTAGATAGATTTTTATTGTACTCGACATAAGACACTTAATGGTTTTACTAATGCTCAGACACATGTCATATCATTTGTTATCAACTTTTATGGTAGTGTATTATATTTTCACCTCTACAAAAATTAGAACCTTCAGCAATCTGTGAGACAAGTGATAGTGATTTACAATACCTGGTCGCTCTGTTTTACATTTCATAGCCGTAATAATCAGTGTGTTTAACACATCTCGCTGGCTCGATATATCCTTTTATCTATTACTTTTGAGCACAAAACTGTTAAAGTAAATAATATCTTGTCAACCACTCCACTTAATCCTAGATTTAGTCCGAAACATTCAAGTCAGCTACAACGTATGACCAGGAATATATATGCATCCATCGAAGTTGACACACCCCATTAGCAAAACAAGAAGGACACCAAATTCATACAAGTATTGACTTCAATGGTAGGAATATATAAAAGAAAGATTGCATATAAGGATATAATACAGGAAGGAAGAATTACTTCGTAGACAGAAAGGTATAAAGCTATTTTAGTCTCACACCTTGAGGGAAGACAAAGATTATATACACATACCCCATTGTAGTCGATTCTGAGCCATGTCACCCAGTGTCTCCAACCATTGGTTACGATAGTCGCGCGGACCCCGATCAAGTAGTTTGCAACTACCAACATGGTTCAAACCAGAAGTCAATGACTTCGCCATAGGTGACGTAAGTTGGCAAGAGCCAAATGAGCTTTCTGAATCCGTACAGAGACTTCGTCAGACACCAATCCATTAGGGCTGACTACCAAGATAAGTGAGGTTGTCGACGCGTTCGACTATTTTACTCTCTATCCTTGGTTCAGGTGTTGACGCAGACTAATCCTGAAGCAACAACTCACATGATTTTGACTTCTTATATATTGGGACAACCAGTGATTGTAACCAGTCATATGGAATAACGTCTAACTCCCAGATCTTAGCTAAAATATTAGTCAACCTAATCGCTAAAATTGGACTACCATCCTTAAAGACCTCTGGAGCCAATCCACCTGGACCAGCTGCCCTTCCTCGTTTCAGATTAGCTACGGGTTTTGAACTTCAACTACGGTCGGGGGACCTACCTCAATGTTCCGCCCAGGCTGTTTGGTAATGGTGGGTATTTGTAGAGTAGCTGGAGGTCAACTGAAGTGCTCCTAAAAGTGTTCCGTCTATCGTTCTAAACGTCTGGGCTGAGAGTAGGTAAGTGTCGTCTTTTTCTGAGATCTCACACTTGACTTTTTAACTCCGATTTCTTTTATTAGTCTGAGAAGCCAAAGGTGACGTAAGTTGGCAAAAGCCAAACGATGCACATATGTGCCTGGTCCTACGTTGTAGCTGACTGACTGACTGACCACTGCTCACGGTCGTTACTTAGACTTTCGTTTGACCAAGAACTTATTTGTTTTCGTTCTTCATCGTGTTCAGAGCCTGATGATATGAGTTTAAAGTACTCTTTAGTATAAGATGTCTGGAATGAACTATGCACACACAACGGTTCAATCAGGTAAACATAGACTTTCTTCATTGATAATGATCAGTTTAAAATATGGTGTCGGGGTATGAAAATCTGTTAGTCTATCACAACTGCCTGGTTAAAGTTAAAGAGATAGTGCAACACAGCAGCTTGATACGTTATTAGACATAGCTCAGAATAAAAACCAATGGCTTATCTGTCATAATTTTCTCTTAATCCATAAAACTGAAAGGAACATCAACTGAAATGGTCCCAGTTGTACATTTTTTAATGGAACTACTTCTATCATTATACACTTTCCCATGCACTTGTTTTCATTCATCTATTTGTTCAAGATCGTACTACCTCTCCACGTAAATTACTTTCTTATGCCTATTACCCCTCACCGAGGAGTATAAGCCGCCGACCAGCATTCTTTATCCAACTCTGTCCTGGACAATCCCCTTCAATTGCTTCTACTTGTTATTCATCCTTGTGGTCTGCTTCTAAATCCCGACACAGTGTATTCCATGGTCATTCTCTCACAACTGATTGATCACTGGGTGGTGATGAATGTCATTTGTGTCAAGTCCTTGTTAGTGCAGATCGAATGCTATCGATAGCTCAGTAGTAACGTACCTGACTAAAGCTGGGTGACACGGGATCGAATCCGTCAGGGGCACCAGTTCCTTCAAGATTACAGCTACATCTTGCTGACGAGTGCCAAGTAGCACGAAACCCGGGTCCATGGTTTCCTGTCGACTACCTCCAACCACCATCTAATAGTCATTCTCGTTTCCGTTTCCCTTCAGGATTCCAAGTTAGCGCTTGCTTCGTGATGCAGTTTAATGATTTCAGTAGAGTTTGTCCTATTCACTTCCAGCGTCCTTTCCTAATTTCCTTTTCAGCTTAAAGCTGGTTTGTTCTCTCCCATAGAAGGTTGTTGCTGACGACATCCGGTCGACGGACATTGAGTATCTTGCGTAGACAATTGCTTATACATACTTGTACTTCTTTGATGATGGTAGTAGCTCACTAAGTTTCAGCTCCGTACAATAGAATTGTCTTGACATTTGTATTGGAGGTTCTGATTTTGATATTGGTTGACAGTTGTCTTGAGTTAATGAGTGAAGGATGTTACAACACCCATCTACTATTAGATTGCAAGCGGGATTGCAGTAAATATTTGCACTTAGACCCATTGCTGTATGTGTAAAAAATAAAACAGGAGCTCTTAATCAAACTACATGTAGGCGGATTTGGTTTGTGTGATAGGGAGTTAATGTAGCGAGACAATGATCAATATCACTTCAAGTCACATAAAATTCGCAGAGCTCAACGGCATGAAGAACGAGGGGAACACGCGTGAAGAACTATCAGGCAGATGACTAGTAAGTCTAATTGCGAGAATTTTTGTTGTGAAGGAATGTTAAAAGTTTTTAGTGCATGGTCAAATCTCTCCATACACGCGTTCTCTATCGGCTAAAACCAATCTCAGTAGGGTGCGTGGGACACTCCGAAAGTGATTCGAGTATGCAACGTTTCCACGAATCATTGTCGGGACTGTATAATAAGATCGTTTGTATTCACTCAGGAACTTCCTCTAGACAAAAAGCCAGACCAAAATACAGTCAACAGAACACCTGCTCATCGTGTACTTCGATTAAAACTATGTACTCAGGGCTCTTAGCACCTTAGACATGGAAAAGTCAATAAGATCAGATGAACTACACCCCAAAATCTTGAGATATAATGCACAATACATCGCAACCCCATTGACTGTGATATTCAATATGTCACTTGACCAAAGCGTGCTACCTATGAACTGGAAGGACGCAATCGTCACTCCCATGCATAAAGCAGGACCAAGACAACTTCTATCGAACTACAGATTTGTAAGCCTCACCAGTGTTTTAGTTAAAATATTGGAAAGAATAGTCAAACGGACCATAATGACATTTATGGGAACCAATAACTTGTTGAACAGCGAATATGGTTTTAGAAAAGGGTTGTACAACGAACCTTTTTATAGCAAGGGAATTATGGATAAAGGCACTAGACAACGGAAACTCAGTGGATATTGTCTACATAGACTTGAGTTAGGCTTTTGACAAGGTGCCAACTAATAGACTGCTATTGAAGTCAGGAAATCTTGGTATTGCCAGACTTCTTTTAAAATGGCTTAAGGATTTCCCAGTAGGTCATAGACAGAAATTAAGAATAAATTCCAAGTGCTCCATCTGGAGACTAGTACTTAGTGGAGTACCTTAAGGTTCCGTCCTAGGTCCTTTACTTTTTACAATGTAAGTAAACGATCTACCAAGCATAGTAGTCTACAATGTTATTATACGCTAACGATGTAAAAACCTGGCGAGTAATAACTGCAGGCGCATGTGCTCTTCAGGCAGACTTAAATAATATGATTAACTGATCTAAAGAGTGGCTGATGCCTGTCAGCGCGGCAGTGTGTCTACATGCACTTTGGGGATACAAACGTTAATGGATGCAGCATAGGAGAAGTGCCAGTACCCGTGGTCCGGTCTCATAAGGATCTAGGGGTGACAGTGGGTCATGATCTTAAGACGACGGCCCATTACCAGGAGGTTGCAGCTAAGGGGTTTAGAACCCTCTGGGCTTAAAAACAGACATTCACTAAGCTAGATACCACCATATTTACTACAATACATACAACCTTAGTGGGAACTAAGCTTGAGAACTGCGTTCACGCTACAAGCCCCTGTTTTAAAGGTGACTCAGATACCCTAGAATAAGTACAGAGGGCAGCTACCTGTGCAATTCCAGAACTCTAGGGTTTACCATACAAAGAGCGGCTTGAAAAGCTGGACCTCTTTACTTTGTCCTATCGCAGACTAAGGGGAGATCTAATTTTAGTGTACAGAAAGCTGAGAAATCATTATGGGCCTAACTTATTCTCTTTTTCTTCCCACTAGATCCGGACATCTCAGAGGACGTAGCAGGCGAGTAGAAAAGCCAAGAACAAACAAAATACCTGTGGCATACACGTTTTTACACCGAGTCATCAATACTTGGAACCTGCTGCTCGAAGCAGTGGTGTCCGCGCCTTCAGTTGACTCTTTCAAGAGAAGACTAGACACACATAAGCAGACTAGAAAAGGAACAACATATGCCGTGGGCCTTATGTCCTTACTACACAAATCTGAATCTGTATTTCCATATTAAAAGTTTAAAGCCAATTCAAATGACATGAACTAAGTCTACCATCGATTTTAAACCAACACATAACTTTGAGATCCTAGTCACTTATTAGAATTGAAAACTCACAATCTCATCTGGGCTGAGTATACCGAACTGCAGCGCTCGGACCTCCCTCAGAGGAGGCGCACCACCAACTATGGGAGGCATAAGTGGCTAACTATGCAGCGACCTAGGAGGTTGAACGCCCTAAGGTCATTAAAACAAATATGTATATTATTCACTATGGTAAAACAACTTTCTAAAATAAATAATGGTGAAAAAATAGTTTAAAAATTTAACCGACCTCGAATGAACAGTATAAAACAATAACGGTGGACCCTGGAAGTACGTCAAATGGTTTTAATGTTAGTGTGTAGAATAGAAATTTTTACTAGACGATCTCCTGTGTTTGTTAACAATGATCCATTAGTGTCACCATGCGGTAAACCTCAGTAAATCGATACGAGATATTACGCTGAATCTACAAGGGAACATTTGGTTTGTTCTTGAAGGATAACCAGGAAACCCAATCTCATTCCACGATTTGGTTCGTAATCAGCACCAAGTACGGTTACAATACAACCTGATATGCTATCTTACCTCTGTATGGCTGGCATCAGAGTTGAAATAAAGGCTTCGAAGTATCCCTAGGCATATCTATAATGTTATAAATCATTCTCAAACCGCCTCTTATTTTCCTATACTCTTAGAGATTAATGTTCTTGGGGGCTTCTGTTGGGCCGCAACTAAATGATCTGTGGAGTTTATCTAGTTGTTGCACAGGTTACTTGGATATTTTAAGAGGGACGGAGAAAAAAATTATGTTTCAGTGTCCCGAGGCCTAAGGAACGATTAAAAAGCGAGTGAAAACTACAACCGTCAAACTGTTCAAAGTTCGTTTAGTGGTGAACAATTCAAGACTGTCTCAAAAGTCATTAATTTGGATTTCATGTGGCTAGACGAAGAAGATTATTCGATCGAGACAGACAACTATCTCATTCATTCTGCAGTTTATATCTACTCTCAACAAAATATACAAATAAAGGCTGTCTCTAGAGTGGCTTTGAAATAGTTCTCCTTGCCCAATTGGTTCATCTAGTACTTATACATCTTTATGATTTTTTATGGACAGACAGGTTTGCATGTTATAAGTGCTCTCAAATCTAGCACTGCATTTTTCTACCACAATTATTTGCTTGCATAAAATTACACTAAGTAATATGTATGCAACAGTATCCTCACAAACTCTAGGTCAGTGATCACAAAACCAGGCAAGTGCTAAGTTCAAATCCATTTTACCACCTAGGGCCAACAAAACTTATTTAGGTGTCAAGTTCTATCAGTTAGTAATGAGATACAATTCAGCTCACCACACAGTAATCAAAATATGAGAAGACATTTGTTCTCCCCTAGGACCCAAACACAGATGACAGTGGCTCAACGCGATATGAGAAGCCAGTCCATGAAACAACAGAAAAGATACACTAGTTAAAAACAAATGAAAGTCTTGAATGGATAAGCATTATTTCCACCAGTCGAACATTCTGTCGATGATTGCCTACTTACGCCTTTTACGCTGTCAACGAACGTTGAGTGTCTTGCGTAGACAACTGTTTATACATGGTTGTACTTTTATGATGATGGCTATAGTAGTTCTCCAAGTTTCAGCTCCCTACAATAGAATTGTCTTGACATTCGTATTGGAGGTTCTGATTTTGATATTGGTTGACAGTTGTCTTGAGTTTTATATATTCTTCAACTACAGAGTTTTGCCCTTGCTTTGAAAATCCTTGCCTTTACGTTTTCATCTGATTCCCCCTCCCGTTCATCCGTTAAGCTGTCCAGATACATGGAAGCTTCCACCTGTTCCAGAGTTTCTCCATCAAGTGTGATTAGATTGGTGTTCTCTGTTGAATTTCAGGACTTGCTTTTGCCCTTGTGTGTGTTGGAGCCTACTGATGCAAAGGCTTCTGCTTCATTGATTGTCTTGACCTGCAATTGTTCATGTTTATGAAATAAGAAAGCTAGGTCATCTGCGAAGTCCGAATCGTCTAGTTGCATCCAAGCCGTCCATTGTATTTCGCGCCTCACCTCAAATGTGGTCTTCATAACCCGGTCAACCACCACAAGACAAAAAGGGAGTGTGACAGGCATGTCTGACTCCAGTCCTCACTTGGAATGCGTCTGTAGGATGTCCTCCACTCACCATTTTGCAAAGTAGTCTGTCGTATAAATTCCGTGTGATACTGATGATCTCCGGTACACCATAGTGTCGAAGTTTACATAAGGTTCTCCTATCCACTCGGTCAAACGCTTCCTCATGACCGAAGAAGTTGATGTAAAGTGACGAATTCCATTCAACTGGTGTTGCTATTTAGTCTGTGCACGTCCGATCCTCAAGGAATCCGGTCCGTTGATCTCGGAGCTGGGCATCTACTGGATCCTTTATTCGGTCCAGCGAAACTGTTGAAAACTTCTGATACCAGTAGTAGTTTGATGCCTCTGTAGTATTCACATTTCCTCAGATCTCTCTTTGGTATCTTGATGAGGTATCATTTCCAATCTGTCGGCAATTGTTCCTCTTCCCGAATCTTCTTGAATAGAAGGTGGAATATGTTTGCAGTTGCTTCTGTCTGACTTCAGTGCTTCAGCTGGCACAATGTTGGGTCCCACTGTTTTCTACTCTTGATTTGTCTGATGGACATCTTGATTTGTCTGACAGTTGGTGGAGTGAGCCGAAGGAAGGTCTTTAGGTGCTGCCTCGATGTCCGGTGGATTCAATGGAGCCGGCCTATTCAGATGTTCCGACATGTATTACAGATTTCAAGATAAAAGAGCGTTGAGGTAGTTCGTGATTTCGTTATAACACGGACGTTTTCCAATTCTAGAAGAGTTCTTCAATTTGCAGTGATAAAAGCACGGCTCCATTCAATGCAAGCAACAAAATCAAAAAGAGGGAATGATTCAATATGGCAGTCACCATGACCGAATGCTAACTAAAGCGGCATAAATGTAGTTAAAAAAACATGGTGACTCAGTGAGAATGTATGAAAAATAAAAACTGTGATAAAATACAAATAGTACCGTCTCAAATGAAATCAAATGATCAACGAAATGCACATGGTATAATACAACATATTTCTGCCATGTCATGTGCATGCCATTTTTATAGGCATGATCTATAAGTTACAACATTAGTTTGCCCACAGTAAGCTTCCCAAGCATAGTTGATAAATAGATGAGGTCAATAAAAAAAGTCTATTCGTGCAGATGTCTCAGAGAATTAGGTTTACACCGAGTATAGTTTTTAAAATATTTTTTTCCGAAATTGGCATCACATCCGTTTTACACGGCGAATTCATACCCAGCGTAATTGTGCAGGGATTCTGGTCGCGCCAAATATCTGTGCAATACAAATTTTCAAGCTTTTAGTTGTTATAAAGTAGATTTGTAGAGTACTTGATGTGAGCTACGACCCTGAAATAAGGTATATGTCAAGTTTGTTCCGGGTGTCAGAAGCTCCATAGCTATGCATTGAGAAAGTGATGCTGAAAAAGTGATACAAAGGAGCAATAAAGCATTTGGATATAGACGCTAAACAATACTTAACGTTTTTTAGTGGAACAGAAAAAGATATGACTAATTAGTAGAATAAACTGATATTAGCTCGTGTTGCTAGAGTGAAATTTGGTTAGAGCCTTCAGATAAGAGAATGAAGTAATAAAGAACAGTGCTTTGTGATATTTAACAAGGTGGATTAAGTTCAAACGATCGAAGAGAGGTTGAAGTAAGAATAAAAAAGGCTGTTTATTAGAACGGAAAGATCACCGAGGCTGCAAGGCGTTAAGAAACACCAATAACTATATCTTTTATTACCTGATCTTCTAAAGAGTTTTCTGTCTAATGTCAGCCACAATCTCCCAACTTAAAATTCGAAGTTAGCATGTTACAGGTTGTCCTTGTAGAATAGCTAATCGAGCACAAAATTGGTAAAATGAGTGTGAATAGTGAGAGTAGGAGAACGATCTCAGTATCACTGATTGATCACTCCGTCATTGGTCATAAAGAAACTGTGACAAACAAAATGTTGGTCCTCATAAACATGGGTGGATTTAATACATCGGCCTCCTATCTGAAGGAATCAAGAGGAATAAATTACAACAATGCATGTGTGAAGGGATTTTTATACACAAAACCTCTAAAAGGATCTTACATTAATCGTCCCACCTGTCACCAAATGATCGAAGGAATGTGCAAATAAAATGATCTAGATAAATAAAGCAACAAGTTATAACACGAAAGCTTGTAGAATTATATCCTGCTTCGATGTTAGTACTGCTCTAATAATAGACCTTATACTAAAATTGTAGTTGTTTTAATGCAACTGCCTAATCTATAAGATCTTACTTGAAAGTCACATCATTGTCTACCCTGCTTCATCGCGTTGTAACAATCAATACATTATTGAAAACACACTTAAAGTGGGGATAGAACAGTATATTTCATATGGATAAAAATAATGCTGCATAAGTAAGACCACACCTAGAAGGCCGAGACATGCCATCCGACCAATTAGAATTAATTCAATTCACTCCTCCCGCCTTCTACATCGTTTTGTTTTTCTCTGCGTTAAGTGTTGAAAGTCCATTTTCACAATCTTCTCGTGTTCAGCTTTAAGAATTGTGTGGTTAGGGCACAATGCCACTACTAGCTTGCATTTCGAAAGGATTTTGAACGCATTTACGTAAACGTTTCAATAGAATCCTACATCGCTTTTGTCATACTCAGCTTCATATCATAGGAAAATCAGTGAAATACCATACAAAACAAATATAACCATTAAAAGCCAAATGTGTAGACTAAAATATGTAGCAATTATCTTACCTTAAACCCGACACCAACACGATACAAATAAATGACAATGTCGAGATGAGTGATTTCACCTTTAGGATGGCAGAAATGGTTGGTCTCTCAGAGAGTGAGTACAGGAGAACTTTCAGCATGCATACAAGAGAATTTTCCTATGGATCGTACCTACCCGAGTCTCGGCCTTAGTATGTACTTCCAAGTAAAAATAATTGGGTATCTGTTGTTCCGGAACCTCTTTTAGGTTCGCCACCTTTTCTATCGTTTACCCTCAGAACATATACTTTGAATTCCATCGATGT